AAAGAAGGGATAAATTCAAAAACATTTCTGAAAATAGGGTAAGTGTTGCTTGGTTAACAAGTTCAATGAGTGAGTAAGAGAGACTACTAGGTTGACCAACAGGTTTTTGACTTGGGTAACTGAATGGATCCATTGCCTTCAACCAGGTTAGGAAATATCATAGTTCTTTCAGTCACACAAGGTTTGTTATTCATGAATCGGAGAGTCAGGTATGAAATGCCAAGTGAGGAGCTGGCTGGTTTAGCAGCTATGTAAAAATAAGTCATGGAGAATATGTAGTACAGGCAAACAAATCTAATACAAATCTGCAGTTCAATTGCTTGTCACTTGGAATACAACAATAAACTGACTTTCCAAATATAAAGAAAAAGAGCCAGCTAGATAGCTCAGCAGACTAAAGCACCTGCTTAGGCAGAGTACAGGGACTGGGGTTCGATCCCCAGCATGCCGTGTGGGCCCCATCCCCAGGGCTCACTGAGATGATGACTGAGACTAGATGTGGTAGCGTGCACCTGTAATCCCAGCACTTAGGAGGGTGAAAAAGAGTATCGCTATGAGTCTGATCTATGTAGAGAGACCCTGTACTAAATACATAAAAACAAGACAAAATATAGAAAAAATAAGTAGTGGTGCTTTTTATAGGGTTACTGTGATATGGTCTGCACTTCAAAAGTTAAATAGCAGAAATAAATTATTTACTTGTGGAAAAAGAAAAGTTTTAGATATTATTGGTATAAAAACTATAAATAAGAACACTTACTGAGCATTTTTACTCTTCTAGGGGAACACTTTATATATGTTAGATCATTTAATCTTCACAAAACTCTGATATGGACACTATTGTTATCTCTGTCTTTTAGATAAGGAAATGGAAATACAGGAAGATTTAAGAGATTTGCTAAATTCATGCCACTAGTAGGTAACACAGGGAGGATTTGAGTTTAGGCAATTTAGATCCAGAGCATGAGCCCCTAACCACTCCATTGCACTTCCTTTTGCAAGGGCAAGGTGTGCACTATGGATGTCTCTTGTTCCATTGGTGGGGTGACTTGTGGTGAACAAGGGGCATGATATAGGCATGTAAATTCTGGAAGAGAGCCAATGATAAGTAAAAAAATTAGGTAAAGGAAGAGAAAGCCATCAGAAACAAAAGATCAAAGGAAGAAAAGCCTTCAAAATAGGATGATTATATAGAATCCATTGGTGCAGAGACAGTATCTAAAATGACCTGTGCAAGGATGAAGATGGTCAAGGAGGAATAAGTTGTGAGAAAATTCAGGTTTCAAGAAGTTTGATCTTGAAGAGAAAGAAAGGTGGTGGTGATCTTTATGAAGCACAGAATTATTATACTCACAAACACACATAATAATGCTTGAGTTGTTATTGTGTTACTGGGTGATCTACTACTTCTGACTGCATGTGCTTCACTTCCCTTCCTTACTTAATGTCCAGCCACCTTTCTGATGTAGCAGAGGTTGCCCAGCTCCAAAACTGTAGTTTTTAGCGCTTTGCCTTTCCTAGATGATATGTGTGCTTTGGGACGTAGCATGCTGTCGTAACTTCGAATTTGGATGGTCAGGAATCTTGCTAACTGTGAAACCTAGACCACATAATTTCTCTGAGCCTTGGTTTCATCATGTATAAAATTTGGACTGATATGTTAAAAGGTAATAAATGGAAGCATGTGTTATATGCTTAACATATAGTCAAAGATCAATAAATGGTGGTGGTGGGAGGAGGAAGGACACCTGAAGGAGAAAGAGGAGGTAAAGTATTGGTAGAAGCAGTTGTTGGAAGTAGTAGTAATTCTTGATTCCACATCTTTTAGCAGATTCCTGTTCCTGGACTCAGGACATCTATAGATACTTATCATTGTCTCTGAGAGTTGGGGAGGACAGTCATTTTCAAATCCTCACAAACAGTTTTAAATTTAACACATGAACCAGAAAGCCCTTGGCAGGAAGGGATAATAATGAAATTGTGCATCAAAAATGTTGGGAGGGCTGGAGAGATGGCTCAGTGGTCTAAGGCACCTACTTGGAACAAGCTTGATAAAGCACAGGGACCGCGGTTCGATCCCCCAGCACCACATGCCAGCCAGCTACGCCCCCTGGTGGGCTGAGCTGGCCACACACACACA